AATTTAAAATCAGCCAACTTTTTCCCCACTGTAAGGAAGAATATTGTAATGCTTTCTTGAAGGCTGTTTAAGCTGAAAGATGTGTCATCAAATATCCAAGCTGTCAAGATCGTGAGGAAAGCTGGATATTGCTAACAAACCATGGGTGTTTCCTTCATTTGCAAAGTCATCACTGACCCAAATTTAGGACCACATATGACACTGTTACAAACAAATGTAATTTCTCAATTACATTTATGCTTCTTTCCTTGGTTGACAGTGTCTCCGTGAGCAGGATAAGCCCCAGTCACTAGGGCTTCTCTAGTTGGGGTTTTTGAGTCACAGGCACTTCAGAAACTAGGATGAATCAACCCATTTTATCTGTTAAAAAGCCATTAGGTTCTCTCACTATGTTATGAAACCAGCAGTTTTCTCAGTTTTGTAACAAAACTTCAGAAGCTAAATGAGCCAGTTTGTGATGTCAGAATGGTCTCTTTTTCCTTCAGGCAGGTTACACTGAAGATTTGACAGAAGGAACCAAATGAGTTTCTTGAAATTGACTTTGCTGGCAAAAATGTAGCAATGCTACAGAAACTATGCTGATTGAAATGAATTATTCTGGAAATTAATTTCTTCTGGCAGAAATAACACTTCCTATAACTTTTATCAGTCTTTTCATGACAATGATTTATATTTGAAAACTTATTTAAAGCTGAGATTGTGTCTGAGGGTAACTATTTGCTTCTAGATAGAGATAAAGCTAAAAGCATGCTGATAATCTGCTTCTAATCTCTCTGTACCAACCTCCTTTGGCCCCATACAAATCTTCTGGTCAATGATAAATTTGGCAGCTCTATTTTCAATATTGGCCCAAACTCAGCTGATCTGAATGCTCTTTTTAAAACAAAAACAAAAACAACTCCTCCTTTACAAAATACATGGTCACTATTCACACCAGGCTGCAACTGGTTAGTCTGAAAAAGGGTTAAATCCCAGTTTTGCACAATCACATTGACTGCTCCCATTTTATTTGCCTCCTTGATTTTATGTCAGATATATGCCCATGCTGAAACTACAATACAGTCAGTGTCTGGATCTCTGACAAAGATTAGGCTTTCATCCCTGTGATTTTTGTTCCTTCCCAATGTTTTTTTAAATGATTTTTAGCAGAGAAAGATAACAGTCATGGTTTGGCAGTCCTTCAGAAGGACCCAGCTTTCACCATCACCAGCCTTCTGAGGGATACTTTAGGATCCAGGTTCTGGCTGTTGCTCCATAGAGATCTGTGTCTTTTCAAGCAGGTTTGCAGTGACTGGTGAAGGAAATCTAATAAAATATGTAATAACAATGCACAAAATCTGACACTCACCCTTGAGACTGGTTTAATTCTTTTTGAGGAGCAGCAATAAGGTAAAAGGAACACTCTTTTGATCGTTTAGTTCAGAACATATGAGATTTCAGCTCAGCATGGTGACAAAATCTGATATCACCTGCAAAGCTCTGTCAGAGGAGTTTTCTCTGTTCACCAGAGACCTTAAGCTTTCTCTGGATCTGAATCCAGACTAGAGTTAACACACACACACACACACACAATATTTATTTATTTCACATGGAATTTCTCCCCTGTATCAGTTTCTTCAAGTATCAGAGAGCATTCAGAGATATTCACATCTCCTGCTGTGCTGCACCCCAGCAGCATTACTTGTCTTAAACAGCTTAAATGAGGGGAAACGGTATTTTTTGCATGTGATGCATTACTGCTAGAAATCAGAATAACAGTTTTTCTATCTCTGAGTGTCCTTTTCTTGAGTCTTCAGTCATCATCGTCTGCTGGACAGAGTTTTATATGGTTTGTTTTTTGTTTGCTTGTTTGTTTTCTTATAGCGATATCTATTAAAAGTCACTATTTGTCAATGGCTACCTAACAGTGGCATTAAACACAACCTACTTTCCTTTTATTAGTAATTTTGCAAGGAAACAAATCAGGTGATTGGTAAATGATCTTCTTATAGGAGTGACAGAAGTAGCCTCAGAACTTACCGTTAGATCTTTGGTTTCAGTGTAACCGTTTTCCCAGAAGATTAGGGTACTCATGAATATGGTGAAATTGCTGGTGCAACTTGCATGAAGGTTTGAATATGAATTAGTAACTGTCTGATCCAAAGTCCTATGAAACTAGTAAAGGCCCTAAAGAATTAAAGACAATAAAGATACAAAGAGTAAAGATACAAAGAGTACTTTCAGCCAATATGTTGTCTTTTTTTTTTTCATAAAACAATTCAATCAACTTTTTCATTTATGCTTCACAGCATACAAACAAATGTACCATGAAGCATTTGTCTCTCTTTGTAAAAACGGTTTAACAGAATAACATCAAATCATCAGCATCAATCAATCCATTAATTTCAAGAGAGTTATGTAAGGAATTAATTTTGTACTCAAAACCATAGTAATCTGAGACTGCAAAACAGTACCCTGTTACTGACTCACAGCTGCAGAGGGAGGGACTGGGTTTATGACTGGCAAAGTAAAAATCAGCAAGTTTCAACAGTTTTCTGGGATTGCTGGAAGTCTTGTAGCCAAGTCAGAGATACTGCTACAGGCAGTATCTGGGCATATATGTATATATGTATTTGCCCATATAGTATATGGGTAGTTGTGCCCATATAGGCACAACTACAAACCCCAGAAAAGCCCTGCCACGCATTTGAAAATCACTGGTGCTGTACATGCACACACTAAAATCTCCATGTAAGTTATGCATGCTTATGTCCCTCTAGGAAATCCCAGATATGGGAGCCCTGCCCTCAACCCCATCCAAAAATGCTCAGTTTTAGCTCTCCTCTAAAGCCTAACAAGTCGATGGCCTTTGTCTGATGCCCTGGAGGCCAAATGCAAGCTAATAAAAATTGGAGTCCACACAGATAACGTTCAATTGTAACTGGGCTTTAGGTAATGGTCTCGCAGGCTATCTCATTATTCTCTTGGTGCAGGCTTTGAATTACGCTTTTTCAATTTTAGATAAAAGTGGACCAATGGCTTCACAGCATTAGCAAACTAAGTTAGATTAAGTAGTTAGAATTAATGGGTCATTTGATTTCATCATTTCTCTTTAACCTTGAAACTAGCAGTCAGGCAGCATAATCATTTCACCCTCCTGATATTTTCTTTCTCCTGATATCTTTCTCCATTCTGCTCCCTGAGACACTGTCTCCCTGTGTAGTGCCCAGATGAGTAGTTATAACACTCTTTGACCATATTGCATTTTCTTGACTTGCATTTCAAGGGTGATCTCTACAGCATTCCCCCCCCCCAAACACACACACACACATCACAGTACATTCAGTATTTGGGTGTATTGGGAATCAGAATGAAGTAAAAACACCTCTTTTGCTGGTAACATAACCAAGCAATTGTTCTGGATGTACTTTTTTGGTCTTATACTGAATCTATTTTAATATCCATTTGTGAAATTGCCCTGTGGTGGCATAATAACAATCTCTTTGGACCTACTGAAAGCAGTAGCAGTGACACACTGACTTGTTTTTGCTCCAGTGGCTTATGTGAAGAAGGATCAACTTCTGAAGAGCTCTAACACAGGTTCTGCCTTATACACAAGCAAATAGGGCACCCCAAGCAAGTCTAGATCAGACATTCCCAATCATGCTGGATCTATGGGCATTTGGCAATTCTGAAATGATAATTATCTTAGCGTCACATAAAATTAGTGAGCCTGCAATCTTAAATGCTATTCAAAACATCTGTACATCACATAAACAGCCTCACCTAGAAGTTTAAAAAAAACTGTTCTACCACAGTGGGATACCTAAGTTTCTACCACAGAGGTCACAGATCTTCTGGTGGGTGGGGAGGACCATATATCATCTTATTTTATCAAAAGACCAAACGTGCAGGCATATTACACACAACTCAAATGAGCACACAGTCCAATGCCAATATTACTGCAGATAAAGTACATACAATATATGCATGGGTGATGTGTCCAGGTTATGGGTATGGTATACAGAGTAGGTATCTTCCTACTCATCTATCGTGTAGTTTATACATGCTGGCTCACCTCTCAGGCCTTTCTCTGCTGTGGTCCAAAGAGGGCACAGAAATCATAACAGCAGTAAAAGTTGCCACAAGGGCAACATGTGCTCCCAATGCTATTTTTTGCGAGGTCTCTATTGTCCTGCTTCCCTGCAGATTTCACGCATACTTCAAAAGACGTGTGAGGTACCACAGTTCACCAGGATGATTCATATCTGGTGTCAGGTGACTTGTCACATAGAAAAGCCTTTTCTGTGGCCAAACTCTTTGGCCAAAAACATTCTGCCAGAGAGCTGCATGTTGGTGAGAGGTGCTGAGCTACCTCAGCCTGGTGGCCACCTCTAGGATGTTCTCTTCCTGGCTTGCCTGTGCCAAGCACTGGAAAGCAGCTTCCAAGATATGTGGATCTCATGCCTAACCCACAGCTACAACTACAGTGCCATGCAGGCACAGTCCTTCAGCTGGGCTAGAGGACAAACTCATCACTCATCTCTGTTATTAATCTCCTAGTGGGTCCACAGGGCTCTGGTGTACTCCAAACTTTAGTCTTGTTGAGAAAACCTCAGCACCCATAAGAGCATGCTCCAAACTGTGCTCACCTGCCAGAGGAAGAGTGCCCAGCCTTTTATGCTTGACCCACTGGTCTTCCCCTCACCTAGCTGCCTTTGATGTTAGCCAGGCAGGGCAGGTCCAGGACCCACACAGCCTTGACTTGTCCTTCAACAGGGCACATGGGATTCATAGCCAACCTTTGTTTAGGTCACATGCCGAAAAAATTAAGGATAGTAAGAGGCATGTCTAAGGGAATTCAAAGGCACAGGTGAAAGGTGAAACCGGTATGATTTTCTGTTCTTGCCAACACTGTTTCTCCTCCACACTGTTTATGATTATTTACTAACTTGTATCACCTAGGGGATAAGTTACAGCAATATTCAGTGACCCCTGAAGGGACCTAACTCTTGGGGGTGTTTTATCAGATTTCAACTTGGTTTTCCTTTCCTCTTTTTTTTTTTTTTTTTTTTCAATATTTATTTGAAAAAGTGTTTTAGCAAGATTTACAATCCACAAAGCCCTACAGACTTGGAGAAAAAATCTCAGGTGGTACTTAAGAAATTCCTCATTTCTAAACCTCAGTGGATTAAAGTTTCTGCCCTAATGATCTGTGTGAGCACTTTTGTGTAGAACTCTGAATAACTTTATTGATTACATTGTGTATACTATAAGTCTCTGGAACCTTAGTCTTATTTTTCTTTACTAAAATAAATAAATAAATAAATAGCCTCAATTAATATATAAAGTACCAGAATGGATTAGTGCATTAGTCCTTGTCTTTGCAGACTTACTTGAAATCCAGACAGGATTTCTAAGAAGAATGTCTTAGCAGGCAGGATCATGCTTCTCAATGGAAAATATTTCCATACTTAAAAAAAAAAAAAAATTACACTTATTTGATGGTTGCTGAAGCACTGAGGTGCTTTGACAGATCTATCTCAGAACTGGGATCATTTTCATAAAGAGCTAAGAATAGAAACACTTAACTAAAGCTGTTTGGAAGACTCCAGCTGGCATAACAGAAGTTACAGATGAAAAATGAAGTTATTTAGCAGAATGGTTAGGCCTGACTGCAACAGCAGCACATTTCTCATATTTTTCTCTTTTCTCTGACAGTGTCTTCCCAGATATTTTCTTCCCGATGTCTCCCAACTCACGCTTCTTTCATGCAAGCAAACAAATGAGAATGGAATTTCAGCTTATAAAGCTGAATTTCAGCTTTTAAAGTAACATACATGACCCAGACTTTGCTCTGTTTTCAGAAAAGAAACAGGATTTTTGTCTAAAACCAGACTGTCTCCACCCTGCCTTTCTACCCTCCCTTGTCCTTTCCACCTGTTTAGATGTTTTCACAGTGGGATAACACATTCATTCCCTCTAGCCTAGGGCTCAGCTGTTATGAATGGAAAATAAAACCAAAGTTTGCAGAGTATTTTTAGCCCAGAGAAAATAAAGTGGTTGCAAATACCATACTCCCACCAGCTTCTCCAGCTTACAGAGATCCATGCCCAGAAAAAAAAAGGAAACTGCATGGCCAGGCTGAACCCGTTGATTTGATATCAACACCAAGTATTCTGGAATGACTCACCCAACAATCCCACCCTTCTTTTTCTTTCTGTTTTAAGGTGCCCTTCCTTGAAGTAAATTCATCTGGTTTTCCCCATCTCTGTGGCACTAGTGCTTTCAGGACCATATAGGCACTCAGCTGGCCTCAGCCCATTACTGTGATCCCTTTGTACAAATTAATCTGCTGATGACTCGCTAATCAGAAGGTTGCAGATGGGTCTCCTGTTTCCCTCTGATCTCACAAATCTCCAGGGACTCGCCTCCTGAGAAGAGACAGTGCGTAAGGGAATACAACACTAAACAGATGACACATATTTTAGATCCGTCTAATGGCTGCTCCTGGTTTCCAGGCTCTCCAAATGCCATTTGTTTCTAACAAATGGCCACACAAGCTGTGGAGATGATATTTTAAAAATGTCTTTGAAATTACTGACTTGCCTCCAATGGCATTTGCAGCATGTGTGCCCCTGACAGTAGCTCTCTGTACTATCAAGCTGCAGGTAAAAATTAGGAATTCAGAATAAGAAATTAGAAGCTGACAAGACAGGTTCACAGAAAGCCTGGCCTGAATAGAAGAAGTGGTTTAAGGACTGAATAGACTAGAAGATAAATCTCACCAACATCTATGGTTAGTTCTAAGCATCCTTGAACTGTGAGTTCTAAGTAGAGTTTTATCTCAAGTTGCAGCAAAGTAGCGAGTTCTTCATTGCTGCATGAATTGTGTAGTATCTTGTACACAAGAGCAGCATATAATTCTGGCAGAACTGTCATTAAAAGAAAAAAGAAAAAAAAGAAAAAAAAAAAGAAGAAAAAAAAAAAAAAGAAGAAGAACAGTTGAAAGGAAGTTATAGGTCATGGAATATCCTTTATGCAAATGCTTCCAATTTTCTGTTTTTGTCCCAGGAAAATCTGAAGATTTTGTAAAATTGGCCAGGACATCCCCCACTGCACATCTCAGCAAGGTCCCTTATAGAGCAACAAAAGGCATCCTTGCTCAACTTTACAGCCTGTATATTGTCCTGATATTTTTACTATTAAAGAAACAGGACAATGTTTGTTTTCTTGCACTAACACCAATGGGCTCAGCACAGTTCCCACCCATCCTATTTTTTCTTTCAAAACAGGGAATTCACATGCAATCTACATCTTCAGGGTGTTTCCATACCCACATATTGTCTGGGAGGGCAACAGCTGGCGCAGAGGGAGCCAGCACCATGGCAACAATTTGACATGGATGATGGATGATGGCCACTATGTCATAGCTTAGCCCTATGATATGAGTAGAGGTGTAGTCACTGAGTCTGAGGCCTGCCATGTGTGTTGGACCCACTGCACACATCAAAACATTAGAGAGGTGTATGCGTACTAGGTCTCACAATGACTGTATTCGTTACGGAGGCATCATGAACAGCTCAGATGTATACTTCTGTCCAAGAAATCCTGGAAAGAAATATGGCAACTCCTTTGGGAGCCATTGAACTCTCCTCCTCCATCTCCATTTACTTAGTCATCAGTAGCATGCTGTTATGGGTTCACTTAGTTGTAGGAGTATTCCCAGCAGACCTCCTTAAAAAAAACACTTTTTATTTAAGACTGAAAAGCAGCTGCTGATAATGCTGCCTTAAGCTGGTCATTTTGCTTCTGGCTTCTATAGGTTCCACATTTTTCCTATCCAGCCTGCACAATAAGCATTTTAGCTTCCATTGTCTGGGATTTTCAAAAATGCTTTGCATTGGCCTAACTGATCTCCCTGTAACCAATACTAAGTGTGTTCTGTTTTCCCTCTTATTATTATTGAAAAGATAGAGCATCCACAAATAAAAGATCATCTGCAAAGCTGAGGTCAGCACACAGTTATTTCAGTAGCTGACACACTGCTGCATGAATGTTGACTATTTAACAAGCAAATGTAATCCACGTTTATCTTCTACAAAATCTTTAGTACGTTATTTCTGGAAGTTCACTGCTATAATTTGTGAGCAAGCAATTTAGGGAAATGGTTCTGTTAATCAATCCAGTTGTATGGGGGCAGTGGAAGGAAGGGGAGGGCAGAAGGAAGGAGAAATATATTCCTCATGCTTTCAGTTCTTCTGTGGGGAAGTGAATAACATATGCCTAGAATTATCTATTAGCAAGTGTTTTAACCCTCCCTATAAATCTTGCTGCTAATATATAGCATAAATTCTTTGGGATTAGACTTTTCTCTCCCCGTAAATCTCAGAAAAGCCCCCCCCACAAACACACATCTCCACCACCATCACCAAACTGATCATATTTACCCAGCCTGGATTCAGGGTGTCAGTAAAGAGCCAACTCTAGTTCAGAAATGCCATCCTCCCAATAGAGACTGCCAAAGGAAAAAAGAAATAGGAGGAAAAAGAAAAAAAAAAAAAAAAGAAAAAAAAAAAAGAGTTAATAACATGAGTCAGATATTTAGATATTTAAATGTCAGGATTTCTGTTTATCAAAAGGTATCTTTTAATTTAAAGCAAGAGTAGTCTAAAACACTGGTTTTCATTAACTTTTTTCAGTTCAGCGACCCTGGGCAGGGAGGGGTCCACTGAAGACTCCTCTAGACCAAATTCAAGCACACAGCAAGCCTAAAACCAGTCTTGGGTTTCTCTTTTTAAGATGCAGAGAGCCCAGTAAGAAACCCCCAACTCAAGGGGGTCTACTACCCATAGCAAAAAATATCTAGTACAAAGTAACATTGGCAAAAATCTGCCTATAAGTCGTGAGAGGAAAGAACAAATTTCTTCAAGAGTGACTTTTTTTTCCAGATGCTCTTTCTGAGCAGTCTCACAAAACCTTTGGTACAGTTTCCTGTTATTTGCAGGACAGAAGGGAAAAAATGGACATTTTAGTCCTGGCACATATAACCTAAACCTTTTATTCATGTTTCTTCTTCCACTGAAATAAGTGATAACCTCATAGTGACTCCCAACAGGATCAGGCTTCAGCAGACACTGAGTGCTTCTGAAGAGTCCAGTCTTTACAACAGAAAAACTCGAAAAGCAGTAAATTTTGTAACTTATGACAGGAGCACTGTGGGTGCAGACTGGACCTCAGATGGTAGCATTTTTGTTGCACAGCATGAATAGGATGCACTTCATAGATGAGCAAGAAAAATCTCCCTTCACCTACTCAGCAAGTTGTGCATTTGAATACTTACTTAAATATTTACTTGCAGCTGCTAAAAATCTCATTTTCCAAGAGAACTCCAGAGAGGTTCAAGGTCTACTCTGCTGTGACTTGGATGTCAAAAATGATATTTGGAGAAATCTCTGTTTTTCCCTGAAAGAGAACAGATTTTTATTGACTTACCCTAGATAGTTGAGTTAGGTGGCTACAGTTGGTTTTCTGCTTTCATGGAAAATGGGCATTTGCCTTGGCTTGCTGTAACAGCTTCTGGCTACCTGGTCCCACATGTAAGCAGGTAAATAATTGACAGATGGTTCTCTTTATGCAGCTAAGTAATAACTTTCAACATTATGTCAGGGGAGATTAGGAAGCAGGAAAAAAATGTGCTTAAGAAAGTTTGGACCTACACTGCTATGCTGTGGTTACCCAGCATCCCTGCCACATAAGCTGTAGCAGGTGGATTCCACAAGTGCCTGAAGTTGCTAGTTATAGAGGGTGTTTACAGGTGTGCCATTATCAAGTACTGATATAAAATATTACAGCAGAAAATCATGTCTAATAAGCTCCAGCTGCCTGTTAAATTAGAAAAAAATCCTGCAGCAAATAATCAATTTGAAAAACAAGCAGTAGTAGGACTGAAACAAAGGAGCTGAGCATGAAAAAAAAATCTTGAGTGATTCAAGCTGCAGTCCAAAAAGTATATCAAATGGATGTTTTCTTAGTTTTGCTTTTGCACAGATATTTGCTCCTGCCAGCACAAGTAGCTGCTGAGATCACAGCCTATCTTCTTTTGCCTCAGTATTCCTACATGTTACCATAGATGTTGTTTCTGTGAGATCACAGGCTGAATCATAGGGCCGACTTATACAATGCAGTAGTTTGCAGAGGTGTAGTAATATGTTTTATTTCAAAGCAGAACTGAAAACAAAAATACAAACAGCAGGGCCTGGCAGCCTCTTTCCCCTCCCACTCTGAGGAGCTGGTTGTCCTGCTTCTCCTCCCAGATTTCTGTTGGCACAGAGCCCCTTCAGCTGGCAAAACTGGGGCAATTGACCCTTTCTTCCAAAGACCAAATGCAAGCAAGTCCGAGCTGGCTCTCCTCAACATAACAAAAGGGCTCTGATCATAAAAACTGCAGCATTGGCCATGTTGGGCTTTGCACTGCCATGTCACTCCACAGCAGCCAGCAACTCCTTTCTTCTTGGCTTACCTGGAACCTAGTGCAACAGGATCCCAGTCCATGCTACCACTCCTTCTTGATGTAAATACAATACTACATGAAAATACAGCTTATGTAGCCTAAACACTTCTAACGGTCCCCTCATGGAAGGGAAGTCAGATGCTGAGAATCCACAGGCTCATTCTCTTGTTCATTTAAGGGATGCCAAAATGGACTATCAGTTGCAGAAGAGGGCAGAGATACTCACACTGGCTTTCAGTGATCTAGTTTGAGTACCAGAAGCAGTGCTGCACTGGTCGATTCACTATGGTTGTCTCCTGCCTAAAGAAAACAGAACCTGCATTCCCTGGGCCTATCTTAAGCCCAGACTTCATTTTCGGACAAGACTGTAGTAAGTGCTGCCCATAGTTGGTGAGCTTTCTCAAAACACTTTCACAGGGCAGGATATGATTTTTGGACATGCACCTTTATTTCCATTATTATTCATGGCCACATAAAAGATTTTAGATTAGAGATGTGTCAGGCTGGTGCTTTTCAGAAAGGATGCTGGAGACCCTCCCACATCAGAGACAAAGCTTTTTTGTTATTCCCACAGACTCCATCAGGTTAACAGACTTACATCTTCCATCAAAGCTGACTAAAGATGTTTTATTACGGCTGTGTACCAGCAAATCTCAGCACTGAGGACTGAATGCAATTTCCATTCTATCCTCTATGTATACAGCTTTTTAGTTGCTCCTGATTCTCTCAGGCAACTTTTTTGGATCAAACAAGTCTCTTCTGTTCATTTTTGACCATCAGGAGAACTGGTTAGCTTACTTTATGCTTTAAAATGCAAACAAGCAAATGACTAATTGTGTCTCAGGTGCCAACACAAACACTGCATGTTTATTGTAATGGTTGGACATATTGGCAGTATATTTTGAGTACACTACTGAAATGTAAAAAGCAGATTAAATATGCAGAAAGTTGGTTGAGGAGCTTTGAAGTCATGATAATAACTGTTTTCATACACAGTAAAAATTTCCATTATGTTTCCCAAATCGGTCCAAATTCAGGATGCTATATGTTGCACACTTGGTAGAACTTGCTAATCAGATTTCCTATTTCATCTGAAGTACTTTTCACTTTGGAAGGCAAGTGTGAATCAAGATAGAAACAAAGAACAGCCAGCTCTAAAGACATTTAAGGTAGTCAGGAACAGTGTGCTCTTGGAGGCAAGACTGATTTGTGGCACAAGTAAAGCTGCCTTTTCTGCTTCCAAGTTTGTTTTCACCCAGGATTAATAAAACAGTGTAATCCCTTAGGACTCATAAACATGTTAGGTCTGTCATCTCTTGAGGTGACCCTCTCATCATTGAATCAAGCATGATGGGAATTTTATGTAATTTTTGAGTCAGTGTAGTATGTTCTAACTAATCATCTTTCAGAAGATTGCACTAAAAATTCCCTGTGCAGTTCAGTAGAATTACAGCTTCTTCCTCTTCATTCCCCTGGCAGCAGGAACACAGCCAGGACCACCAGCAGTGGTCAGGCTCTTCTGCTGAGGATACCTTCAAGGCAATGCCCAGCCAGGCAGCCCAAAGTGACTGAGATACTCATTCTGAGGACAGCCCTGAATACTGAAAAATTAAATGTACACATATATCTTGATAAGCCTTCAACGCTGGGATCAGCTGCAGCACGAATGCAGCTTGAAGGGCATCTATCAGTGCAGATCCAATACATTCTCTTCTAGTCAAAAGAATAAAAAAGAGGCAAAAAGAGGCAAACCTTCAAGTACTTTTCCCTTTTTAGTGGGTAGTAGAGAAAGAGTGCATCTTCTCAGTGGCAGCAGCATATGGCCTTCCAAATCCTGTTTCCCATGAAGGTGCAGACAGTGAGGTTGACAGAGGCAATAGTAATACCACCCAAACTGTGGATTCATGGACTTTATGCTGCCTTGCTGGGTCTGACAGCAGAATGGCTTGAAAGTCCCTACATGCCACCTCCCCAGACAGCTTGACCAGAGGGCAGGTCAGACTGAGATAGTTCATTCCCTTGATCTTTCCCTTTTCCTTGATCTTCAAGGCTTCACAGGAAGCCTTTGAAGCAGTGCATATAAGGGCAAGAGCTGTTGCCTTAGGTTTCGATCTTCACAAATTGCATCCATCTTTTACCCAACTCAAGAAATTCTGTTGAACAATAGAAGCAGATACCAAAGACTCATTAAGGCCCTTTTCTCCAAGCATTAAATTGGAGTATATCCAGGTTTTCAAAAGCTGGACATCATTTAGCCAATCTGCATCCTCTAAAACGTCTCAGGGCAGACATTTAGCCTGTTAGCCTTAATATTCCTTGAAAATTTCAGACATATGGCTCCTGACCATTTTTCAAATATGTTTGAGATTCAGTCTTCAGAAAAAAAAAAAAAATCCAAATTATCCCTTTCTCCAAGAAAATATGTTACAATCCTTGTTGCCATCCCAGAGCCCTTTCTTGTTTCTTTGAACATTTTTGTTAAAAGCTGGAGAAATAAGTTGTCAAGGAACAGGACTGTGTTTCATTTCCATTCATCTGATGAGATATATTTCAAATGCTGCATAGAACTTTCTGACATCATTCATAGAATAAAATAATGTTTCTTTTTGCATTCATCTTAAGAATTTATTACAAGTGCCAAGTGATAAATTGAACATGAATTAGGCCATCAATCCCAGAAATGAATTGCAAAAGTATGGATGAGAGATTTTGAAGGACTACTGTGATTTATAGTCTGTGATTTATAATCTGCGACTGTTCTGTTAGTATGTACTTTGTTTTGCTCTGGTATCTTAATCTTGTTCAGTTTGCATTTAATACATGTCATGAAGATGTTTGCTTATTTACAAAATTTTCCAAAAATCTCTAAGTAGAAACAGCATTATGATGCTTTTGGAAAATTATGACTTTAGCTCTTCAGAGCTCATGTAATAAATGTACTAAATGAACTTAAAAGAGGAGTTGCAGAGATATTTCCCGATTGCTCATTTTTTATGAGAGCCGCGCATATTAGGGGTCTTACAATATTTGTTTTATTATCTCCAGTTTCTTGTAACTGCTTTCAGCTGGGATTTGTGACTTTGATCATTCTTGGAGCTTGTATGGCAGAATGAAAAGGAAATATGCCCCCTACAAAAGAAAATGTTTCAGTAAAAGAAAACTTGTTCTATAGGTGGAGGTGTTTGGACTTATCATAGAAAGACATATCCTTCAATTACATTTGGGTTTAGTTGAAATGTTACTGCCTGAAAATTATTCCCACTTAATGAGAGGTCTGTGAGCAATAGGTTAATGCATCAAGTCCAGCTACTAAAACACCAACAGCTCCAGCACTTTAAAGTATTTCCACTGTTAATGCCTGCACGGGTTTCAACAGACAGGAGGTAACTTCTGCAGTGTATGCAGTAGTGGCTAAAATGATTTTGGACAGTGCCTGTATGGCGTATGAGTGGCAGTCATCTCTGGTTCACAGTTAGGACTGTAGGGCCAGTAAACACCAGCTCACCAGAGGACACCAAACACCAGAGGACATGACATTACTCAGGCTTCTGTGTCCTTGTGTAAGAGAGAACTACCTCCTCCTGCCCCAGAGTTTTAGATCAGCAATAAGCTGACTATGAATTCTCAACTGCAGCTACAGAAAGGTTTCTGAGACTTCACAAGATGTTTCATATCCCAGTGCTAGTAATCTGGCAGCTTTCACCAGCCCAAACTCATTTCCTAATCATGTCTTTGGGCACTGCATCAAATATTTGGCTTCCAGTTAACAATAGAATCAGTAGAGCTCTCTCCATGCTGAGTTCCAATTCTGCACTGTTTCCCTGTAGTCCTTAAAACTAAACTTGCACCAGATGAGTGGTAAGAATGGATTTTAACCTGGGCCTGATCTCCAGTCTGCCCACTCATTTTCAGCTCAACTGCAAGACCACTCTTGGGACATTGTTGGGATAGAAGAGACTTCTTAAAAGATTTTATATCTGACCTGTGCTAAGTGGGGCAAGGTGGGGAGGGGGAGGCAGATGCTTGCTGACTGCAGTATGTCCCTGTGCCACAAAGGAGCTCACTGACAGGAGTAACACCTCCTAACTGGCCACTCCAGCCTCATCCTCCACCTGAGGAACACAAGAGAGAATCCAACCCTTTCATAACCTGTACACACATGCTAAATAGAACAACAATGTGTGACAAGAAACCTGTCTCCCTAAATGATTTTGTTTGGATATATTAGCACTGCACTGGACAGAAGGCATTTGCTGCCAAGCCCGCACCCTCCCCTTCCACTATTCAGCCTCCGTCAAAGCTAATGTTAGTGCTGTTGTAAGTAGGATTTCTTAATGCAACACACACATACACAGAATCCCTTTAGATTCTGGTTTATATCTTCAATGAGAACCTTGGCAGCTGTAAAAATATCTTTTGGTCTGGTCACTAAGCTAAAGATTTTTTTTCTCTC